GTTAGCTTTAATGAATGGGGGGTATATGCTATAATTATTTATGAGAGAATGGGTATTTCAGGAATTACTTTGGGTATAATTATGAACTTGTAATTATTTTAGATTTTATGGCTCATTTATGTAGTATTTATTTTTGGGATAATTGTACATAATGACAAACTATTAATGTTAAATAAATAAAGTAGCTACCGTTTCATTTATTTCCTTTAAGGAGCAAAGTCTCAGTCAGTTTGCTATTAATGGGCCCCACCGATTTGTATAAGTAAAAAAAAACTGACGTTATTCCTTTTATACAATCTCTTCTTCTCGTTTATATCTCTTATTTCCTGCAATTTCTCCCAAATTTTCTCCCCAAAATCAGTTTGAAATTTCAAATCTCCACCAGCACTTTCTCAATCGCGGTTTCAAAATCCCTTTAAAATTTTCAGGTATCGCCAAAACTTATCTCTATTGATTAATTTAAATTTTTGTCTATTTTTTCAGTTTTTTCAAGCTATTTCTCACATCAGTTCATAATTCATATAGAGTTTTCATTCAAACAATAGATGCACAGTCTCCATCTAAAAGATTCACAAGAGGTATACCCTTGCATGTCGAAAATAGTGTTGAACGTCCATCGTTTTCCTTGGGTTTAACTCAGGATTTTGGGGAGGTTGCAGGTTCAATGTCAAAATCCAATGCAATGCAAGAGATCAAATCCAAATTGAAAAATGGCCCAATCAGATTGGAGGAAAAGAGTGCAAAATCGAAGCAATCCAACATCAAAATTGTGGAGGGAGGTAAGAAAGATCAGTCTGCTGTTGCGTCAAGTAAAAAAAGGAAAGAAAAACAACTAATTATACAGATGAGAATGCTAAAAGAAAGGAAGTCGTTGTTTCTGGCTTATTGGAGCATGATGAGGTATTTGTATAATCATTATTTTTTTATATGTTACAATTTTATATTTTTCTTATATTTTCTGTGTTGATTCATGTCTTCTATCTGTTTGTTTATACAGTTTTATATAGTCACTATGTTAATATCCAAAGTTAAATGTATAAAATAGAACTATTTAACTATACATACAAGGTAAACAATTATACATTTGAAATTGGTTGTATAATGTATAATATTTAATAGTTATTGTATTAGTAGTGTCACAACAACTTCTATATATATATCTATGCATTTCATACAGTTTTGTGGATTGTTTTATGTATAAGTTTTTTCATTTGTATAAGGATACTTTTTGTATAATGTTCCTTTAGACATATACAATTCCACAAACTTATACACATACATAAATGGTTTGTATTTCACTATACATACAATGTAAACAATTATACATTTGAATTTATTTGTATAAATATAATATCAATAGTTATTATATTCGTAGCGGTACAACAATTTATCTATATATACCATTGAAATTAGTTTGTATAATGTATTTTTTCTTTATAAAACTTGTATATGTTATTTTCATTTAAAAGCTATTTCATACATTTTGATATATGTACTTATGTCTTAATTATGTATACATGTGTATTTTAGTAAAATTGTATATGCATTTTTTTCAGGCTGTTAAGTTTTTAGGAAAAAGAGAACCAACACGCATACCTCACATGCAGTGTTACACAAATATTGAAGTAATGAAAGTGTTAGCTACAAAGCTTACTAGTTCACAGTATAAAGAATGTTGTGGAACAACATGTTTTGCCCAATTATCTAGCATTCATAGGTGTCATGTTCAAGCACAACTGATTAGGTGCATATTTTTGAGAGAAATTGAGGGTAGCTCAAAAGATGCAATCCTGATACATGTGAATGGCACCACTTTGCGATTCACCATTCGTGACTTTGCTATAATATCTGGGTTAAAATGTTCAGACAATGAGAAGGATTTTATCTTTAATATCAAAGAATCAAACAGAATTATTCTTCAGTATTTTTCAGTCGAAAAAGCTATCACCAAGAGTCAGTTGGTTGAAAAGTTTAATAATAACGTTTGGGAGGATAATGATGATGATGCGGTGAAGTTTGCTATATTGTTCTATATACATTCATTCATCCTTTCCGAAGAACCAACCACTACTGTTATTGATAGGAAAGACTTTGATTTGACTGAATCGGGCAGATACATTGACTACCCATGGGGTAAAAAGGCTTTTGACCTTCTGATTCTGCATTTGCACACTAAGATCAAACACGATGGGAAGTATTTCAGGTTGTATGGTTTCCCACTTTCTTTGCAAGTGTGATTTTATGAATGTTGTTCGAATTTTGATGAGGAAATTGTTGTTAAGGTATCTCATCACATCCCTAGGATATTTAACTGGAAGACAAAAAAAAATTTTCCTCGTCTAAGCTATTTTGCTAAGGGCATGTTCAAAGACGACAACAATCCGGTACGCACTGTACAATTATATGTATAATATAGTATAAATATAACTGTATAAATATGTAAATGTATAAATATATGTATCAGTTTGTGCTATAGAAAACTATATGTATAAATGTGCTCCATGTATTATTATTTATACAAGTTTTTGACAATGTATAAATATACCTATGAGTATGTGAACTGTATAAACATAAGCCCATTTGTATATATAAGCTTATAAACTGTATAATTATACATATAAGTTTGTCTAATGTATATGTTTATATATATATATATATATATATATATATATATATATATATATATAAACTGTATATATGTTTTTACATTTGATTAAGAAAACATTTTGTATATGAATATGTTAATATGAACATGTCTATATTTTGCAGCTTGTTTTTAACAATATAACTTCAACTCCAATGGAACTCAAGATTCTTGAATTACCTCCTATGTATGTTCAATCAGATCCATCTCCAACAGAAACAACAGCTGCAAATGCTTCGGACGATGATTTTCAGGATCCTCCATGTCCAATAAATAACAAGGGAAAAGAAAAAGTTGATACTTGTTTGTCGCCTCCTAAGAAGAAATCAAGGCAGATAGTCACTCCTATTCAGAACAAGACAACACCTAGGGTCATTTCAAAGCAGCCTTGTTTAAGAAAGTCTACCCGACGTGCCAATGTTGCAAAAAGACCTAAGTCACCACTTCCAAAAAGGCAGGCCAAAAAACATGCTAATGTTCCATCCTATACAGGCATTAAGCAAATATTGAGATTAAATCAAGTGTTGCTTTCGAAATACCATCCACCAGCAAGTCACATGATTTCAGTATATCGTGTGATGAGTTTGATCAATTCAAACTCTTGGTATTTATTTTTTTAATTGTTTTTATTTATTAAAATTCTTTTTAATTTGTATAGCATGCGTTAAAGTTACTTATATATGTCCAATTTCAGATGGAGAAACAGTTTACTGATTTAAGGAACTTCATTGAAAACAACTTCAAAGATGTGTTGGATTCTATCAAATCAAAGAATGCGGAAGATAAGGTTTGTTAATATAGATCAATACATATATATTATACATAATTGTGATAAATATACATTTAATATTTTTCTTCTAGGGTGATGGTGTAGAAGTTACAGATAAAGTGTCAGTCGATGTCGTTCAATCCAAAGAACCTTCTTAACATTTACCTTCTGAATTGAACTGTCAATCTGTTTTTAATGATCTAAATGATCAAGAGGACCTATTTATCTTGTTCATTATTTAAACTTTTATGGCATTTTGTATATAATGTATGTTTTCTTAAAAATTCTGCAGAAGGTTGTTCGAGTAACAGTCCCATCATCTACTCCAGAAGTTAGTATTCACCAGTCAAATTTACACTCTTCAGCTCGACAACCTGCATTTAGCCCTTTAGTTCAATAATTCAGTAATCCCGAGCCACAGGTAATTTATTACTTTTGTGTTATAAACAACATTATCAATTGTTATATACAAATAAACTAACATACATATACAGTTAAAATATTTCCAAACAAATAACATACATATACAGTTAAAATATTTCCAAACAAATAACATACATATACATATACATGTATGTGTAAAGATATGATCATTATACATATACAATTAAGTAACTGTCCAACATATGTATACTTATCTATTGTATAATTTAATAGCAATATTCAATTTGTAACAAACTGTATAATAATGTTGAAATAATTATTATTAATATACAAAGTTATATTTGCTGTAGGGTCACAACAATTTTGCAGTTCCAATCAATTTTGAGGTTCAGAACACTTCTAATATTCTTGAGGTTCAAAATAATTCTGAGGTTTGAATTCGTCAATAGCTTTTTTTTGTATTTTTATAATATATAAGTATATTTTTATATTACATCTATTATACATAGAAGGAGAATTGTGAAGATGTTCCAATTAAAGTGGTCAAAGAGGGATCCCAATTCATGGATGATCAAACAGACTTCAACAATTCATCTTTTGTATGTTCTTGTCATATTTTTATCTTTATAAATTTTACTTTATAATTGTATATAATCGGATCATTTGTATGTTCTTGTCATATATTTTGTTTATACATTTTGTTTATTGTTATATAACAACAGGATTTATTGAATGTTATACACGATCAAACTGAAAAGATGGAAAAAGAAGAATTTACAGATACAAACAAAGCAGGATCATCCAATGTCAATGAGTTAGTTGTTGAAGAAGTTTTAATGTGTCCAGCACCTCTTCAGATGGTACATGATGACCAGCCAAACATTAATCTAGAAAGAAGCATGGTGTTACATCCTTTTTTAGCTGTGGACGAGCATACACCATTACCAATTCATAGGAAAAGGCGTCCAGGCCCATTCAACACATCGCCTTATGTGACATCATTCGGTTCAGAGTCTAGTACAACAAAATTTACTGTTTACATAGTAATAGATATATATCAATAAATGTTAAGTCTTATAAAGATTATTTATGTCTTTATACATTTCAAGTAGTTCATCAAGGTTCCATTTCTCGTTTGATTTGAAACATCTATTTGTTGCAATGTCTGTTTTGGAGCGTAAATAGTAAAATAAAAAATATACATTAAAAAACACAATGAAACATACATGCTCCATCCATTGTACTTGAAGCCACAAATGTTCCATTATACGGTCCTCTTAGGTGACTTCCATCAACAACTATGACAGGCCTGCAACGATCAAAGCCTTGTATACAATTATTCAACGCAACAAAAAGATACAAGAACTCATTTTTGTTTGTTTTCTTTAGACGTATATGCGAGCCTGGATATGTATTATCCATCATATACAAGTATGCTAGAAGTTTGTTGTAAGATGCAAATGTGGTACCCCTGAATGAAATCAGAGCCTTTTGTTTAGCACTCCAAGCCAACGAGTAATTTACATCAACTCCCAAATATATCTTTACATCACTCCGAATATCAGAAGGTGTATATTTTCTCTTGTGATCAACAAGCTTAGGCTTAACAATACCACCAATCAGCATGTTTGTCGCATGTTTTTGTGAATACACTTTATCCTTCAAAGGAAAAGTATGATCTGTATTAAATGCTCGGATCCTAAACATTCCAGACTTGTTGATATTTGATGCTTTCATCAACCACTCACATTCATCAGAAATACATTTCAGCGTATAACTTCATCAGCAAATAAATCACAACATATCAATATACAAATAACTAAAACACCATATACATTAATGTATTTGTTTGTATAAACTAGTTACTTGATTGCATTTGACCTCACAGTTCTATATTGAACTTTATTTTCAATTGCATAATTTTTCATCACAGATTTCAAAGTGGCTTTGTTCTTATACACTTGGCCAATCTCCACGTACTTATTACAAGGATCTGCAATGACTTCATCGCAGCTCCCTGACCCCAAGACACAAAGTGGCTCAACCGATTCAGCAATTGACAGCTGCCTAGTCTCAAAATCAGCAATACCATCATTACAAATTGATGTAACCATATCATTCTCCTGATTTGAATTTCACATAGTTCAGTGATATTGCTACTATTATCCATTTTGCTTATACAAATTGGATACTTGTTGAAGTCATCTGCAACCTTTTTAAGCATGATATACACTCTAACACCCATGTCGTTGTGAATCAACGTTGGCATTTTGCTTTCTTTAACCTTATACTCAATTTTCAGCTTAATCACATTTGTATCAACACTGAGTTATATTGCAATAACATTATACAACTCCTTATACGATGAACTTTCTTTAGAAATCACCCCCTCAATTGTATAATCAACATAACAATTGTCATTGTCCCATATACTGGAATACATAATCAAAATAGCTAATGAAGCCATTTTCAAATTTTCTGTATAAAAAAAAAAGTTATATATACATATACATTTATACGATTAAGAATTTCAACAACAAACAGAACATATATTTATACAAATTCTAGCAACTTCAGTTATTCACATATATACATATTCCCATTAAATACACATTCTGCATATACATTTATATATAAATAATTATATACACAAATTAAAACTTTATACACAATTATACAATTTCATACAAGTGCAGTGTTATTGTTACTTTCACAGAGTACAAATTTTTGCATTTGTATAACAATCATATATCCAAAATCATGATGAAGATGCATTGTATAAAACATACACATAATAGTTTCATATATGAATTATACATATCTTACTGAATCATATTTAAAAACCTATACGTATAACTCTAAGCAAATATACAGATTCGAACACAAATATTACTGTGAAATGAGCGAATCTCCGATCACAAATTCAAAATAATCAACAATTTCATCCAGAAAATTTCCAGATCACAAATTTTTCTAGATTACAAATTAACTATACAAATCATAAGTGTTAAACTCTATTTCGAACAAAATATACACCTCTCAATAAACATTCAACTTATATTGATGATAGTTAAAAAGGAAATCTGATTTTGAATACATGTTGAACACCATCTTCGACCAAAAAAAGCAAAATCAAAGTATATTTTCATCATGAAATTACCTCATGTTGCTATCTCCACAGTCCAATGCTCTCGATTGTTTGTATAGTACCGTCAATAGCTTGATCGATTTTCTGAATTGAGTTACAATGGAGTTCTTACTGTTGAAGACGACGAAGAAGGAAGGGAATTCAAATGGAACAGAACGTGCGTGACTTCAGTGATTTTTTTCCTTTTTTTTCTAACCGAAATTAACGCCTTTTTATTTATCTTTTTAAACAATCAAAATGTATTTAAAAAAAAATTGACTAGCTAATAAACAGAAAGACACATCCGTAGCAAACTAAAATTTTGCTACGGACTGTAATTTTATAAAATTTGCTATAGCATACAATTAGCAATTTTTTATTTGCTATACGTAAAATTTTCTCTTTTTTTTTAATTCAAAATTTGGGCATTGCCCATTTATTAAAATTAAACAGTGCAAAGTGCATACTAAGTAATTTTCGGGACGAATTTAATGGCAATTATAGTAGCCACTAAACAATTAATTTTTACAACCTACTAAATATTTTGGCAATATAATTAAATCTACTAGCAATAAAAATGGACGATGTATAAAAGATTTTTTAAAATTATTTTGAATGAATTTAATAAATAATATATTATTGCCGCAAATAAATTAGTCATTGAACCACGAAATCTTTAGTGAAAATTTAATTTGATTTAGTGGCAATAAAAATAGAACAACTTTCACATATAGCAAACACAAAATTCATATTTGTATACTATAACAAAGTTTGCATAATTACGCTCCTTAGCAAACATGCTATGACTAGGCTATTTCGCTATACATATATACAAAAGAAGCAATTGTATAATTCGTTGGCTCCTCTTTAGATTTGTATAATTTCGCTGGCAGGCCATTTGTATAAATTGTTGTCGGCCTCTCGTTTGCATAAATCGTTGAGAGTCTCTCAATTTAATTTTATGTGTTTGTATATCTGCATAAAATTTGAATTTGTATACAATTGAATTGAAATAAAACGTTTGTATATCAAATATCGTTCTCTCTCTTGCTTTCTACAAACATAAATTATACATTGTATTTTGTATAATCTGTGTTTGTATAAAGCGAGAAAGAGAGAAAGGCAAAAGAGAACTGGACAAGGGAATATTTGTATTGTATAATTATAAGTGTATAGGACAAAGATATATATTTGCATGTGTATATACAGTTTTCTCTCGCTTTATACAAACAGAAACACAATTTATACATTTTTGTTTGTAAAAAGCGAGAGAGAATAGCGAGAGAGAGAGAGTGGCGAGCGAGAGTTTGAGGGAGAGAGGCGACTGACAAACAGTTTGCTAACAGGGCACAATTAAATCAAAGTGTGGTTATACCATTTAATTTGAATTAATAATTTGCCTTTATGTACAATTTTCCCATAAAAGTATATGCTAAAAGGGTAGACCGGGCAATTTTGGAAATAAATTTATCAATCAATATAATAGTCACTACTAAAAATTGTTGTAATAGCTTGCGACTTAATGGGTCGTTTGGTAGAGTGTATTAGGAATATAATGCATGCATTAGATGTGTGTATTAGCAATACTTTGTTTGGTACACTTTTTCATGCCATGTATAACTAATGCTTCTCTATTGTGTATTAAGTTGTGTTTTACTAATACCAAGGAATTCTAGGTAGTAGTAATACATAGCATTTTAACACTTGCATTAGATTAAATAAGTACAAAACTACCCTTAAAGTCTTTTCATTTTCTTTGTTGTCATAAGTTTTTATTTTATGTTGATTTGTTTTTTAGGGTCTTTTAATTTATTGGTGTCTTAATAGGCTTTATCGCCTCTTAAGTATCTTTAAAAAAAAATCTAATTTCAATATAATTTAATCAAAATTTTTACTATTGTGACGATAAATTTTAAGCAGCCCACTGCCTCACCCCAACTTATTAACTCAAAAAAACAAAACTTATACTTTTTGCACATCCGTTATGCACTTCTTAATTAGTAAATTCATCCTTAAAATATGATTAAAAAAAATGAAGGTATAATTTTTTTGTTGTAAAAGAATCTGATCTTAGTTGATTTATCTTAATAGCCAAGTAATAATTAGATGTGAACAAGTAAATTACTATCTTTTTCTTGAGTTGATTGCATTATTTTCCTGTAATTTATTAGTAATTGATGACAACCTTAATGCTTTGTTTTCAATGTAGACAAAAAAAAAATTCTTTGCCAATTTTTTACAAAAATATTTTGACTCAATAGTATAACTATTTAATATTATTTTTGAAAAAAGAAAAAGAAGAATGAAGAGTTAATGATGTTTTAGCAAAGATTTTTTTTTTTTTTGATGTTTTAGCAAATAACTTTGTTGCAAAGGAAGTGTACAAATAAATAAAGTGTGAAGGGTATTTTTGTAAATATATATTTTTTAATAGAAATTATGCAAGATTTGTTATTTTTAATACATCAAACCAAACAACGTATAAGAAATAATGATTGCATAACTAATGCGGACATTACTAATACAAGCACTACTAATGCATGCATTACTAATGCAAGCATTACTAATGCACCCTATTTTGCATTATTCTTATACGCTCTACCAAACGACCCTTAGTGGCAATAAAGGCTATCTTTACCAAAACTTTTCTAATTACACTACGGCATAAAATTAATGACCGATACCGGCTATTATTTGCCGGAAAAAGCCTTTTTGATAGTAAGGTATTGATCACCAATATAATCAGGGACAATTCAACATAATTCAAGATGTAAATTGTAATTTTAGTTAGAGGCTTAAAATTTAAATAAATTTTATCTATATTTATTTATTTATTAAAATTTTTAGATGTAAACTATTACTTAATATCTTTCTTATAAATGATTTTTTCAGATACTTTTTTCAAATTATTATTTTTAGGTAAGGTTTTATAAATTCAACATTGAAAAATATCATTTGATTGAGAGGTGAGCTAGCGAGATGGGGAGGGAGGTGAGCGATTTTCATTATGTATCCCAGATACATACGAATCACACTAGATACATACTAGCGACGTGTATGTGTATGTATTTGGTATAATTTGCATGTATCTAGAATACCAGATACATAGGAGAATAGCGAACTAGATGGAAGACATATGAGGGAGGCGAGCGAGATTTGTTGTGTATCTCGAATACATGCGAATCCACTTGGATACAATGTATCTAGAATAAATTATTACACCTATTTTTGGACCCCGTGTATCTCCTTATATATGTATCTAAGCGTATTTGGACACACAAAATCTCGTAAAATACATAATATTACAAATTAAAATGTATCTAAGTAATTAACTCATAAACTAGTAAAATTTATGTAAGTTCCCATAGAAATACTCCCTTTTTTCGTTATGTTTATTCTAAAGTAGGCTTTAATTAGAGTACTTGTGAGAGTCCAAAAGATAAATTTCTTTCAAAAAGAAAACTGCAATTCCACTCATACGAGATACAAACTTTCATTAAGAGTTCAAATTATACTCAAACATTCATAAATCATTACAATAAGATAAATACACTCACATAACATGGAAGGAATAAAATAAATATAATAGGACATTTCTAACGATCCATCA